GCCTGAAAGAATTTTAATAAAAAAGCATAAAAGCCATTTACTATGAGTTTTGCAAGTGGGATAAATGCAACTTTTAATATATAATAATTTACTTTTAAAGATAATAATTACCTTAAGCAAGATCTGATGACTCAATTATTATGATAGTAAAGCCACAATTTTAATCATTTTTGCATAGAGTAGATAATTGTCGCTTAGGGAGATTTCGAACCTAAAACTCTCGTGTTTGCATAAATATTTTATCACTTTATTATACAAAGTCCGGTACAGACTTTTGGCAGTTTGCATATGGTGTTGTGTAGCCCGTTAGCTGACATATTTGGAAATTAACCAAATATGCCGCTGATTTGTTGCAAATTCTGTTAATTTATTTGTTTATTAAATTTAAAGTGGGTTCTAGAGTCTGTGTATGCAATTTACGATAGCTCTTTACATGCATATGTAGGTATATACTTTATGATTGACATTGGCATCCAATTTTAGTCTAGTGACTGCTACTGGCAATATCGTGACAGCAAGCTTACATGCTTACAAATTTTAATTAGAATATCTGTAAAAATATCTCAGCCCCCGCACATTTTCCAATTATTGGCTGATTTTTGACACCAAGTCAGGAAATGTCATAAATGCTGACAGGATATGGCCAATAAAAAATATTTATGATGCGAGTGAGGTTTATGAAGACAATCAAAATGCAGCTAAACGTGGTGATAAATATTTTAATTGAAGTATTTGCATTAATTTAAAATTCTTTATATGAAATAAAGCAGAATGTTTGCATTATTTTAGTACAGGGGAAATTAAGTATGTATTATATTAAATAATTATAATTATAGTAATATAATTATCGATAGGACAGACTTTCATAAAACAAACTAGATTTTGCTGTTCCAAAACATCTGTAATTGATATATATTGATTATTAACTCAAGTATCTAAACCCTACTTGATTAATGTGATATCTTGTTGTCGAATTTCAAGTCAATTGGCAAAATCCCCCTGTGCATGATGACGAAGAGCCACGCTGAGATGAGAATTAAGCCCAAGATGCCGAAAGGTGTGAATGGGGTATTGCCGTTGATATGAAGGGCTTACCACGCCCCCGTAACGCCTCCCTTGGGTGGCATATGCCTAATACTGCCGTTGGTGTGGTGATGTTGCCACAAAATTCAATCAATATAATTGCAACACTTTAGCAAAGGACTTCGTCCTGCACACACACACACACACACACTCAGAGGCGTACTCGGGGACTGTGACTGCGACTGTAACTACGGCAAACTACGTAAACAATGTAAAGCGTTTCAAATTTATACGTCGGCCCCGAAAACTTACCCCAAAGGAGCCGGCGACAGGAGCAGCAACTGATGACGGCACAAAAAGGAGTGAAAGGACACAAGCATAAAACTGTGAACGGTATATATATGTATGTATGTATGTATGTATGTAGGTGTGTATGATGTGTCCTTGCGTGGGAGTGCGTGGGCGGAAAGGTGTAGCAACACAGATAGAAAGGGACGACACGCGTGTATTTTCGCTTAGAAGTTTATGCACTTAATTAAGCCCCAGCTACTAGAGAGCACACTCGAGTGAAAGAGAAAGGTTCACTGAGGGAAATTGGCTATAAAACTATATTTAAAACTATTTACTTATTATCTTCATCTATAAGAAATGACTTTTAGAATGGATTTTAAAATGTAAAGTCTAGGTATATATTTAAACTTCCTTTCTGTAAGTTACTTCTAGTTCACAGATTTCTTTCGGTGCCAAATAAAATGGAAGCAAAGATGCGGAGACGTCAACTATGTTGTGTTGAGGCGGAAGTACATCCACCTTAAGGTCCCCAGTACAAAGTTTGTCATTTCTTTGGCTGGGCGGAAAATGTGTTCACTGTGTCGCTGAATTACTCAAAACTCAAAACTTGAACTTTTTCGCCCACACTTATACACACACACACACACTTGCATATTGGGAAAAGGATGTGGAAAGTGCGGTGAACTTGTAGCCACAGCTGTGACTTTGAAAACACATTCAATCATTTTCGGAAACTTTTCCGGGCTCTTGTTTTATTTATAGCCACAAACTCATGCCTGGCCCTTACACCCACATTAGTAAATCCAATTAAATGGGAAATTATCAATCAGCCAGGCACATAATATTCATTGTTTATTTGGTATTAAGGTTAACTAACTAATTTGCTTAATGGTCCCAGGTCGCACGGTTCGTTTTACGCTTAATTAATACGGCCAATTGGTATAATTTTTGTGGCTGTCAGCATTAAATAAATTTCGTTTTCAGCGTGTAATAATTCTCGCCAAAATTAAAATACTCATTTTAAGTGGCAGTCCGATCGGCGTACACAAACAATAAAAACTAGTTTTATTAATGAAACTATATAAGGTAATTAGCTGGTCAAATAAATGCGAAATCCAAACAAAAAACAAATATGAGATGTCAGGCAAAAAATACATTACGTGAGCAGCTATTTGCTGAATGAAAATTTGTGTATTAATACCAAGAGTGAGCTCTTCTTTTGTTTAACAATTGCCATTAAGCAAAACCCCGACTAACTTTAATGATTAATTTATTTTTTTCTACTTCTATATAAAAGTAATTTGTTCATAAATCCCCTCCTTCAGCCTTTCGCTGATTAGGAATTGCGACTCTCACGTACTACGCATTCGCCTTGAACCTTTCTGCGAAAGTGCTGTTTCTACTTGTGTTATTATGTCCTTATTTTTTATATAAATCCATTTGAAATGCAACTTTTGCGCTAACGCATAAATCTTCGACACAAATTGCAAGCCAGAAAGAAGGCGGCAGGGCGTAGCTGCGAAGCATCTGAAGCATGTGCTCTGCCCCACTCCATACATACTCTCATCTATATGTATATATGTATATATAGATATATGTATATATAGATATTCGTATACTGTATAAAAGTGTGTATCCAGATGCCTGCTTGTATATATTGTCGCAACATCAGTCAGGATTAGTTGTGGAACTTTACCAGTGCGACTACGACTAGTGCCCCCTCTTGTTTGCCATGCTGTAACCGTCACGCAGAACGCTCCAACATGCTGCCGGTTGTAGTCCCCTCTCCGGACGCCCCTGCAAAACACACATCCCGGGAGCCCCAGCCTTGAAGCACCATCCGTGTCCTTGCGCTGCGTCTTGTCCTGCGAAGTTTTCCCAGGCTCTGCTGTTTTCCTTGTCTATTCCACCGAATGTGGAATGTTGCGAGGAAAGTTGCCCGCATTCTGTTTGCCTAACTCATTCTCGTTGAAAAGGCCATGGGAATTAGTTAAGCAATTGTGCCGAAAGTTCCATCAAATGCAAAATGCAAAATTGAAATTCACATTCGTTTCGTATTCGTAACCCGATTAGGTCACACTTATAATTAGTCCTTTTTGACGGCAGATATTACGATAAGTAAAAGCAAAAACAGCAAACAAATTATATAGCGATAATATTATATAATAACATTGTATGGCGTTAAACATATTCGTATTTATATGAATTCAGCAGAAGCAATCCCCAAAATTGCTTACATAAACCTACTAAATTCACAAGAAATACTAGAAATATTACCAAATCTAATATACAAAATCAACTTTATAAGTATATGTTGCTTTTCTTTCTTTCTTTGAAGTAGTTGCAAGGATTCTCCCAAAGGCTAAGTGAGAAGAAATTATGCACATACTGTAAGTCCTGGCAACTTTAAGACACCATTCCTAATGCCACACTCATCCATTAAAATATCCTGTGCAACACTAAACTGTATCTTAGCGTGAGAACATAAGAATTAATTAGCTCTCCGTTAGCTAGTTCATGTAACACGGAGCGTTTGTCGCGCTCGCCTTGGCTAATTGTGGACTTGTGCGGGTCGTTTCATTGATTTATGGCTGCTAATTTCAACTCATGACGTTCAAAGTATTAAATAATAAACTCCAGTCCGTCGAGCACCTCTCGATCCTGCCGGCTTCCCGGATCCACAGCCACATCGGACCCCATGCTGGGGCTTGTTGCAATGTGGGAGGTGGCGGTGGCGCCACGGAACATGAGCCCGACCGTATCTTCTTCGCCGCGGCTACTCGGCAGACTTTACAAGTGTTTCGCTCCGTTTTTATGGGCCAACGCAGAGAATGAGAGGGGCTTCCCCCGGGCTTGTAATGAAATTAAAGGCGTAATGCAATACAGCTGGCAAAGTTTTCGCAGCGGTTATTTCCATGGGTTCTCGTTACTCGGCGTTACTCTTTTGCGTGGCAGTAGCCGTCGCCGCTCCTCCAGACAGACATTAAATTTAATTAATATCCTCCGTTTTTCGAACCCAAAGCGGTCTTCAAGAAAAATGCAATACCGTTATTAGATTTTTCCTGGTATTTAGACTTGTTAAATTTGTTTCACATTTTACTAAAGTATGAATGAATTGCTTAAAGGCAACAACAATATATTTATTATTACTATACGCTATGTAGTAAGCGTTGAAAATGGAACAACAAAAAATCAGTTTTATTCTGAAACAATTCATAAATCAATAATTAATAATAATTGTATTACAATCTAAACAAATCATTATACAATTATACAATTACATCATGAATTGCTTTAGAACAACGCTGAAGTTTTATTGTTCTATTTCCAATTGCCATTCTAAACACAATAATTTTGAATTAAATAGTGTTGAGACTGGAATAGCTGAAATTGAACAACGCTTAAATTTAATTGTTGTTGTTCCAGCTATTCCAACCACAACAATTATGAATTAAATAGTTTTGAGTCTGGAATGGCTAAAAACTAAACTCAAAAGTTCAGTGTTATTTCCGAAATAAATCGTGATACAGTTGAAAAAATCGAAGCAAGTGGTTTTAGTATTAATATCGTGACTGGTTTCAGTACAAAGCTAAACTTTTTAGTTCCGTTCTCAGCCATTCCAGATTCAAAAATTATAATTGTGTCATGAAACAAGTGTGCCATGACATTTCATAAAGGCTTTGACAGGAAAAAGAAATACATTTCAACTTGAAACTTTGCAGAAACCCGGCGTCCAGCTAGAAATCGAGTGAAATTTGTATCCTTTTCAATTATGAAGCGTTATTCTAATGGTCATATAGCCCAACCTTCTGGCGAAGAGCCTTCGACCAGCAGGGCCCAACCAATGGCTACCTCCACACCGAGTACTAACACTAACCGCACCACTATGCGGAAAGTGCAGGTATCGCCGTCACCATCCCCATCGCCTGCAATCTGGGAAAATGCTGGATCATCATCGGGAAAAATAGCAATGGTGACACCAACAGTAAAAACCAAAGATGTAGCCAACAGTTCCTTGCCCCAACGAGTGCCAAAGACTTTTAAGCAGATCACAGGACGTCGGCCAGTCCACTTGGTGAGCTCTCCTAGAACTGCAAAGACGAACAGAAACAAATCGATTTCTCCGATTTTACAGGATTTAGTGAACTATGCCAAGTGTCCTTCGGGACGCCCTAACGAAAAAGTTCCAATGGCACCAAAAAATTACATCCCAAAACCGAAAAACGCGCGTCTATCTTCTCCAGAAGACACTATATCCGTGGCATCCTCTACTTCGGCCACGGCAGCCAGGAACAAACCCATGTTCTCCCCGCCACAGCCGCCGACCGATCCATACAAGGTGCTCGTGTTGAACATGCCCAACGGTCCAATTGGCCTCCTTCTTCTTAACTTGGATAAACTCAAGGAGCAGACACTTAATGGAGAGATCCCAGCTAATCTGGGCCTGGGAGACTCACCCCAAGTTGCGAATCCAAAGCCAGTCATAATTGGGAAGACAAAGGATAAGGGTACACCACCGCCGCCAGAGACTCCTGACAACAACAACAACAACACCGACTCGCAACCGGAGGAAGAGCAGCCGAACACCAACAAAAAATGCTTGATTATGTAAATTATTGATATTTATGTGTTCTTGTTTGCGAAGCACTATCAGCAATCGCATTTAATACTAATTTCGATTTGTTTGCACTATTTTTTTCAACCTAAAAAATTTAAAAAATATATGACCAAATAAATACGCAAAGTGACTCATCTATACACATTATTCTCGTTTAATCTCTTAGCTTTTCGAATTAATTCCGACTTGACTCAGGGTTCATAACTGATAAGGCTTGGGGACTAGATTCTTTGGCGAGCTATATAAGTGCACCATTTGAGCTACGGAATTTGAAGAGTACGATGGCATCTATTTGGACAATATTTTCTGTGATTTTTGCTTTTCTGGGAATCTGTTATTCCATAAAGCCAAATTGCCCGAATAATAAAATACATCAATGTGTTCCAGCGCCTTATTGCCCGCGAGACTTAAATTCAACCACTACTTATAGGTGCTCCAATAAAGGTGAAGTTTGTTGTAAAGAGGAAAAGGTGAGTATTAAAAATGCGCTTTTTGACAGATTATATTGATGAATGCAAATAATTTAAGGTAATCTTTGGAGTACGGTACACTGGAAATAAATACGTTCCTGGACCATATATGCAGGGCGGCTAAGCTAACAAAGAAATCGTCTCTGTGAAAGTTACTATGTGAACACTATACACTATAACACTATATAAAATTTAATGATTGTAATATAGTTTGCAAGATTCATACAAATTCAGGAGAAGGCTTTATTAGTAGGCATACAAATTACTTTGCTTTGAAATGGCTTATGGAGTATTTTGTATTAAGCTGCCCTGAGCCTGCACCAATTTTCCCATCTGCCGAGCACCAGCACTGGCATGATTATATAATCTAGACTTTTGCAGACAATAAAGTTCTCCAGCGCACTTTGTAAGCTGGCAAAATTTACAGAAATGGCATTATCACGTTGCACACAGCTAATTTGCAAGCGAGAGACAGAGATAGACACAGAGAGAGAAACAGAGACGGAGGCTGGAAAAAGCGGCCAAAGACAAAAAAAAGAAAACTGAATTATATTTACACAATAAACTTGGCACCCGCTGCCTCTCTATACTATTGTGATGCCGGTTGTTTTTATTTGTTTGTAAGTTTGCCGGCATCTACAGATATCTGTGGGCAATAGTAATAAGATGCTACCGAGGAAGCTCTCCCCACGACACAACAAGGTAGACTGCGAGAAATAAGTTAGTATATTGAATATATAATCTACATTTAAGTCTTGTTTGTGTATGATTCTACTGCCTGCAACAGCTTGATTTTAAATTTTCTCCAGGGTCCCGAAAATAATCCTTTATTGACTCTTATCTATGTATGCATGTTTCAAAAATATCATAATTAAGATATTCTTGATCGAGACTGGTCAGGGAGAAGTGACAGAAAAGTTAAAGAATCTGTTAAAAAAGTCAAGGCATTTGTAAAAAACAGAGTTTTCGATTCATCTATTTGAAAACGTTAAAATTAGAGTTTTTCCAAATTTACCAAGTAAACTTAAATCAGCTTATATTCAATTATTTATCAGAAAGGATCCCCTAGATCTACCAACTGAGATTTCAATCTCAACTTATTATAAATTTGTGCTAATTTTGTTTATTTTTAAGCATTCAAACATTTAAAGAATATGTCAAATAATTCAAAGGATAAATCAAACCCTATAAGATTAAATTTAATTTGTCGCAAAATAGCATAATTACAGAGACACAATTCAGTAGGAATTATGAACCGCTTAGTTCAAAATTAAAAGATTCCCTTATATCCTTTCAATTTCTTTCAGCGTTCCCTGGGAAAGTAGCAGCACAAAGGATATGCAGTCCTATTTGGGCTAAAACTACTGCAAAGAAAGAAATTTGCATGGATTTTGAACCTAATAAGCAAATTGTGACTGCAAAATCCAATTTGTAATGAGAAAAGTAGTGCGAATTGTCTGTGTGAGCGGCTGCTACAAAAATATTGCAGCATATTTCTAGGCGTATTTATGAGTCGCGCATAGTTTGCCCCGCACAGCCGTGGTTAGGAGGAGCTCAGCGGGGAGGACCCTATGTGCGCGTGCTAAAATTATGCAATAAAATTATGCGAACAGGCCTGCAACTGTATGCGACTGCGTGTCTGTGTGCGTGTTTGTGTCTGTGTGTGCTTTGTGCCCCAAAACGTGACTTGTTTTTCGGGAGGCTTACGCCTGGAATCCTCCATTTATGTTATTTGCGGCAATTCTTTGTCTTTCCTTTAGCATGAAAAGTGCATGCAGAATCCTATTTTAACCTACAAATGTATATTATTTACGAAATGGTACTTGTTGTTTTAGGAAAAAAAATTAAAGGTTTGAAAACAATTAAAAAGGCATCCAAAAGCATGTTTTGAAATATTATTGCCATATTTTTAGTGACCCGTTAAATGTTCTGGTTGTAGAAAAACTCCCCCGTATCTCTCATTTAAAGGACTATAATTTTCAACACGCGCCCGCAAGTATGCTATAATTCACACGTAGACCAAACAAGCCCAACGACACACCTGCGATTGTCATGGGCGGGGCAGGCCTTCCTGTTTACAATTCATAAGCAATTTCGGACTGGCGACAGAGGTCCGGTTCAGTGCACCCAGGCTCGCCATGCTGGGAAATCAACCTCAGCAGCACACGATTTTTAATTATTTTGTTTCATTTTCATTTCAGTTCTGTGCTCTGTTTTGTTGTGGTTACCCAAATAAACAAGGTCCGGTGGTCACCAGTAGCGTCGCCTGTTTTTCAGAAAAGATTCTCAAGGATGGCATCTACCACTATCATTTCTCAGCCTGTTTATTCTCTTCTGTGTAATTACAAAACGTGATTTTCCTTTTGTTTGGTTCTCCTTTTTTGCTGTTGCCAGACAACATTTCACGGTTTATGTTAATTTTCTCTTTCTATTTTTTTTGTGTATGTGTGTGTCTTCTTTAGCTTACATTATAGAAGGGAGTCCCTGTTGTCCAGTTTTCTGCTTCCGTTTTTTCGTTGTTTTTCTTGCTTTGGGGTCGGTGTATTGTTGCAGCTTGTATGCTCCAAAGGTGTCGTAAATGAAAAATTCATAAATATTTAGTGCACGTTTTATGATATGCCACCACATTTATGCCGTCAGGCCAACCTTGGGCTAACTATAAAAATCATTTAAATTTGATTTTGAAATTTAATTGGGATAACAAAATATACATTTAAAATTTCTGCTTATTTTTATTTATTTTGCCTTAGAGCGGGCAGCAATTCCAAAAGTTTATTTATAATTTAAAATGTAAATGCAGAAATCTTAGGAAAATATTCAATTTGTAATTTAAATTACTAATGATACTATTACTCTTAAATCTGATGATTTGTTTTATATTAAATTCATTTCATAATGCCATAACATTTTTATTTCAGATCAAAACTGGGATATATATACTGAATTATGTCAGAGACGAAATTAATGTCAATTTAAATCAATCATACGCACTGTGTACCCACCTCATTTGAATTTATTTTGCCCCTAAGCTAATACCAATTCTTAAAATTTATTTATAATTATATAAGTAAATTAAAAAATATATTAAAATAATATAAAATTTATAACATCATTTACTACTGATAACATTATTCATAAAAGAAAAGAAATCTTTTAATTTTTTTGATACTAAATAAAGAATTTTTAAAGTTGTATAAGTACACCATTACAACCTTCTTTATAATTTCGTACATTGGTTGCATTTGTATTTGAATACGTGAGATATAAACTGATTGATGTCAAAGAAGGAATTGCTGTCAAATTAAATCAATCATACGCACTGTGTGCCCTGCTCAGACACCGTTTAACATATTCGGACCATCGTTCGCAGCGCTCACTTGATGGAAGCTAGAAATCGAACCCATTGAACCGCAAATGCAATGTCAAGCAATTTCATGCCAGCGGAAATCTTTCAAAGTTAATTTTCAACACACGGGCAAACCTGAGGAGTCAAGACTAGGCTACTCTGTTAGGGGCGAGAAAATTGTACGACTTCCACAGACTTCAAAGCGTCAATAAGCAGACAAATATGGGCAAAAGGGGGGGTAGACTTTGTGTGTGTCTGGGGGCGTGGCGTGGGGCATGTCGGCCAGGTGGGCGTGTCCGTTGGAAATGGCCCGACTGTCTGGCAAACAAGCTGACTGATAACGGAAGCTGGCAATGCACGTGTTTACCTCTGGATATTTGCTGTCTCCCATGGAACAGGATGCCCTCTGCCCTCTGTGTGCTCTGTCTCGCTCTGGCCGTTTGTGCTGTTGCAGGACGATAATGATGATGATGGTGATTCAGGGGAGGGGAAGTGGGAGGGAGGGAAAGTGAGAAAGGGATGCGGGGGCTATAGCCCCCATCCGCTGCTGATGTCACACATTCATGGTCATTTTGCTGAGTCAATCGTTTGAAAAATTTATGTTGCCTTCAAAAGCAAAATTTGCCATCGCCGTCGTTTGATTCTCGGCAATCGACCACACACAGTGGGTTTAGGCTGATTTGGTCCTTGAATTGGCTCTCTTTGTTATACAGGAAAATAAGAAAATAGTTCTAGTTTTTCATTCCATTCCTCTACCTTTTGTTTTAAAATATAAACCCGACCTGAAATAGGCATATCAATAAAAAGTTTTCATTTGTATGCGAATTCATAGAAATAAATAATAATTGCATTTTTAATTTTTATATATTTAGTATTTTTACATAGACTTTCAGACACTGTGCAGCATTGAAGGAGATAGTCAATAGATGCGGTTCATTTAACTTGACTGAATGCTCATCGACTGCTAACCTGGCTCCACAGTCTGCGATGGCAGTGTCTGGCCGGATCGGGTTTCGGCCAACTCGCCTCTGACCCGGCCCGAACTCAATTCAGGTTTATGAAGTGCTGATGTGTGTCTGATTTAATTGAAATTTGATTCACTTTTCAATGTCTGACGTTGAAGTCAGCAAAAGTGTTTCATTAAACTTCAGTCATGTTTAACCACTTAATTGTGGCACTTTGGTGGAACATGAGTATTTTTGTTGACTTACTAAAATGAACATTGGCAATGACATTGATAATGCATTTGAAAATTTTACTCTGGAATGTGAAAGAGTGTCTACAAATGTTTAATTTTGTATATATGTTCACAGCTTATACTGATTTGTTTAAGGTTAAGATACTGCTGTGTTTCGACATATTTATCTAACATCTTGTAAAAATCCATCACAACAGCAAGGCATTCCATTCCTCTCTAGTTAACTATGTAGACTAAGAATCTCTGTTGGTTCCATTAACAGATCTCCTATGAAGCTACTACCTTTATGTATACTATTTCTAATTACATATAGATAATTTTTGTAAAGCTAAATTTAAAATTTCCTGGACCTTATCCCTAGTCGCCAAAGAGTTCCCATTTTAATGCGCTTAAAGCTGCCAGCGCCACAGAAAAACACGAGATGTGGGCAGCAAAGTGTCAGCGACAGCCACGGGCTAGCCAATCCTTGCAGTTTCCACCAAGGACTCCACCCCGGGCTCCAGATGGGAACAAAAAAAAAAAGGACGAGACGAGACGCGAACTAAGGAGGAAGAGGAGGAAACGGCGAGTAAAACTTAACAAGTTCACTTAGAAGAAATTAAGTTTTCAGCATTTATGTTAGGAAAACTGTAAAGAAAAACTTTCTTAATGAAGCGACGACAATGTGGTGAGCAATGAAGAAATGTTCGGAAAAAATAGCAGTACTGAAAGACTAAAGGGAAGCGCATAAGTTTGCAATGAAAGTATATTAAACGAGGACCCAGGGAATTAAAATAGGAAACTTTTAAGAAAATATACAAAACCTTTTTTAATTATCCGAGAATACTAAAAGTATTAGAAAGAAAAATTTGTCGATAAGGAATGAATTTTGGAACCAATATTTCTTGGTATAAAGACTTGTATAAAATAAGTAACACGATATAGTAAATATATTTTCACATTAGGTAATTTAGGGTGAAACCTTTCTTACCAAGGTTAGCACCAAGCTTCCGTTGTTTATTAATTATTTGCCAAGTGCTTTTGGATGGAGCCCATCAATCCATAGCACACCTAAAATTAACCTAATTTTTTACCCACTCAATGTTCGGGAGTGCGATTCCAAAAAGGTTCGTCCACAAACACAGGCGCAGCATCCTTGTTTTTAAACTCGGAGCAATTTTTTACCTTTTGTAACTCACACACAAACACAGCGAAGCGACTTGGACCCCTGGAGTATATTTGTGAGAAAAGCAGCCACAGTTGGAAAACTTTTGCAGTCGCCTCCTTGAACGCCAGCGTCTTTACTTTTTCGGTGGGGGAAAATTTACTTTCTTGAAGATAAATTATATGAGCATTTCCCAAAGGTTAACGTGATAAATTTTCGGCAGCGTAAGCAAAATATCCCACAGAAAAATCCAGAGTCTGGCTTCGATCTTGCGGCCAACGTGCAGAAAAGGACTCGTCGCATATGTGTGCGAGCGAGAGTGTGTCAGATAAATTGTTTATGTGTCTGTGGGGAAGCGATTAGTGTTAATGGGTTCCCCTTTCTCCCTCCCCCCTTCAGTTCTTAAAAAATGTGTGATTCTTGGCCCTATTTTTTTGCAGGATATTTGATTCAAGTTTTCTTTTCAAACACTCCTGCAGCGCATATGAGCAATCGATAAGTGCACGCAGACAGCAGGACAGTTGGATGGACAGGCAGCCATATGGGAAGCAGTCGAACCCCGAACGTACATTGGGATATATATTTTCAATTTCTTTCTCCAGCAGAAAGAACGCATCTAAAGTTTGCCCCGACCAGTCAGGCGGTGCTGAGATTGCAGTCGGGCAGGGATTGCCAGGACATCAGGCGGATCGGGACGGACGCCGCACGACTCCGCTCCCAAAAGTGCCCCAGCCATTGTCATTGCATCGACTTTTGCCGGAGTTTCATGTTTAAATGTCAATTTCTCAACGAGCCAAAGTGACCAACGAGGAACCACTATCCTGGGCATCCAGTTGTTGTTGCTATACACCGAGTCCTTGCGCATTTCGCAGACCCAGCTGTAATGCATGGTGGAGGCCAGGGCACATATTTTTTAACGCCAGAGCATTGCCATGGTCCAAGTTATTTTTTCAATTACTTCATTGTTGGTAGGGGCTCGAAGGGAACCAGACGGAAATAACTGGACAGAGGATATGTGCTGGCTTTGTGGTCAGCTTGGCTTCTCTCTTTGTTTACCGGACTCGATTAGGGGGCCAAGGTGTTGGGATTTGGTGTGCGATACGATATACGATTAGATGGGTAAATATTTCGAATTTATATTGGAATTATATAGAAATTTTAAAAGGAAAGCCAAATAGCTGGGAACTAAAGTTCTTCGGAGATATTTTAAAACCCTGGGCAAAGAAAAATTACGATATCTGTAGACTCTTATCTTGTGGTGTTGATTATTAACATATTAGTTATTAAATATGTTGTTTGCCTCTTCAAAGAAAATTGTCAAATACATTTCATAGAATATATTTAATTCTGCTTTCAGAACCAGCTAATCTAGCACAAAAAATACAAATAGAAATCTCTTTCGTCCGAAATCGGACAACCTAAACAACTCAATAAATCAGCTGTCGATTGTGGCGTTTTTCCTGCCCCTGTCAGAAGGAAATATAAGCAAAACACACAATTGTCAATCCTTTTGGCGGCGGGGCACGATGGCCAGGGCAGGACAATTAGTCCTGTCAACCGACCAGAGTGGGTGGGGGAGTGGGGTCAAAGGCTTACAGCAGCTAATTTTCAATTTGCATGACACGCCGCCTGCCATCGATAGGCAGTTGATGGTGATCCCCATGACGACGATTACATCGGGCGGCGAAATATAAATAAGTTTGGCATTTTAATTGAAATGGGTGGGGTGGTAACGGAGTCCGAGCCGGGGGCCAAAGCTCACGGAAACGACTATTTTGAATGAATTAAATGGCCGTTGAAAATCTTTATTTATAACAGCTGCGGGTCGCTAGCTCCAAATACCCGTCGCGTAACCCCTCACCAACCAAAGATCCCAGCTCTGTCTGCTGGCATCGGAAATATTAAATGAAACGAAGCAAATCCCATTGTCACCCGGTTTCGGGATTCGAAATTGGCAAATAATTGACAAGCTATTTGGGGCGTGTTGATTGGCAAAAACTAATGCCAGCAGGACGACACTGCGCACAGGGGGACAAAAAGGCGGCGAGAGAAATCGATATACATTTGACTGATGGACAATGGTTGGTCCAGGCGAACAATGGCACCCTGAGTACCCTCAATTTCAAGCGAAAAAGTTCCCCAAAAAAGTCTAAAAGCTATTCCAGCAGATCAATATGTAAAAGATGCTTGAAGATTTCTAACAAAATCATTTTAAATTAAATGCAGGCAGGCTTAAAGTTATTCACCTAAAAGAATACACATTGTTGTTTCTAAATCCCCACCTAGTCTTGAAAATATTTTAATTACATTTAGGCAAGTTTTATTTTAGTCCACAAATATTTAAAAAGTCACCCAATAAACCAATATACCCTTAAATAAAACACTGGACACAAAAAAAAAGAAAGACGTGACAAGACCGCATGAAACAATGTGACATTAAGCCATTTCAACGCAAAGGGGATTTACCCTGCCCTTCTGTTTCCACTTTCTTTACTGGCTGATGGCTTTTTCGGGCCAGCACATGGCGGGGCACAATATGTATTCAATATGTATTCATATCAAACAAAATCTGTCTGCGGAGGGATCCGTGCACCTCAGGTGGATAAAGCGGAATGTCCGGCACATTGCATACATTTTCTGCTCGGAACTCGACAAGTCCGTCTAAGCTCCAATACCGGCCCAATAAAGTTCGCAGTTGATGCGTTTCGTCTTATTAAAATAATTGACAGGTGGTTGTGGAAGCCAATGTTCTGGTCAGTCTCAACCAGGAGCCGGGAACAGAGCATTAGTGCCCCTTTATGACAATGTCGAACAAATTGCGGGCATTGAAATTGATTGACCAGATTGTCCGCGGACAGGTGGGCTGGCGTTTAAGTCCATATTGAATAAAATACTCTCAAAACTTAATAAAGCAGTAACAAACATCTTTACTTATACTATTTCCTTTATATTTTATATGACAATTTAGAAAACGATTTTATAGTCTATTTACATTTTATTCTTAAATAGATAACATTCCTAATGCAGAAACTATCGATTTATAGATACTTTTCTGACATAAATACATATTTTATATAATATAAAACTATTTTTTAATAATACATATAAGAAAAATTTTAACGATATAAATCTATGCGATATAGCGATATTTTGAATGGCTTATTGATAATATGTATCCTAAACTTGGTTTAAATTAAAAGTATTGGTAATAAATATAAAATGCTAACCAGAAGTTATTTTTAAATAATAAAAAAATCATCCAACAATAAAACCAAATGAATTATATAATAACTTTAAGATATTTTCGATAAGGTGTTCAAGGTGATATATTTGTCAAAAATATTTAAAATATGAAAAATAATAGTAATAGTTAAACGTTTATTTAACATTACCATTTTGTGAAAAAAAACTTTCAATGCAAACTCCGGCCACAATATCCATAAGCCAAATATTTATTCGAATTAAATTAGATGTCATGCGGGGCAAGCAAATGAACAAACGATGGTTCCCAGGATAAAAGGACGAGATGAAAGATTTGACCAAACGAACTCCCCATAACATCGAAATCAAATGTTTTCATTGAATTTCATTCGAGACGTGTTCATGAAATTTTAATTAGTTGGCAAGCTATAAATTATTCAATGCCACGTCGCTCTATGGCCAGTTGTAATGGATCTTTCTTTCCCTTGCTGGTATGGCCCCTTTTCTCAGTTCCTTTTTCGCTTTATAGAATTAGGAGAATATAGACATAGAGCAAACTATAGATAGGAAGGAAAACTAGTGGTAAAATAAGAAATTATAGGAAAAATACAACAAACAAATAACTATAATAAGTAATATTTGTTTAACTATTTAGTATCACCATCGATTTATACTGAAAATATATATACTTCTAAGAACCTTCCTCTTTTGCCCTTCGAACTATGATTTCGAATTTTTGTAATTATATTATTATCCCTACATCTTGCCACAGCTTAAGTCAATTAGGAATTCAGCTCAGCATTTCAATTTTCCCTTGCCACTCATTCGGCTAATAACATATTTTCAACTGAGGAAAGCCCAGCCGCTGGCAGAAAAGGGCAAGTTTTAATTGACTTGCCACATGCGGAATTGTTTTGTTTGTACCTGTTGTGTGTGCCCGAATGCTAGAATGCCACAGTGCAGAGCTTCAGATATGGCCCTGGGAATCCCGGCGAGCCAAGACAACTCCACATATCCCTCCGACGACGACGGACAAGAAGCCAAACGAACGGGCGGGGCTGCACCGGGAAAATAATGATATATAAGGTAGTATGATTGTAGAAATGTTGTTTAAATTACATTTTTATATACTAAAACAGTTAAAAACTGGTTTTTTGGTACTTAGAATCACTGGGCTGGCTGGGAAACAAATTGTCTTAACAAATTCACTCAAAAATAGGAACCGCAGAAGTAAGAATTTCGAATTGAAACTAGAGTTTTACAATAGTAAAAATATGTATAGTATAGTACCAAAAATTCTCTAAAAATATAATTTAAAGAAAAGCAAGAAAATTATTTAATGCGTAAGACCAAAGCCAGTTACTTCTTAAAATCCCAAGCCACTTTAAAAATATTTATTTTCTGTAATCAAGTGTATTGTTACCAGAAACCTACGTATATCCTTTCCCTACTGTCCCTACTTTTAATATTATTTTTTAATGTTTACATATTTTAAATGCTTTGAAGTTAAGCTGTAAAATTTGCAGTGCATTTGCGGTTCCCCTGCATGTGTGTAGTGGTGCGTATTTTATGCTTTTGCGCCCTGCGCCAACTTAAATGCTAACTTATGTTTAGATTTTGCCCGAGAAGCCCGAGAACCAGAAAAAAGACGCCTCCAAGGACGAAATGGACGAGAGAGGGAAAAGGGGCAAAAGCAGCTAAGCCGGCTGCCACATTGTTGGCCTGGTTGTATGTCGGGGTTTTTGGCAACTGCAGCTGCAACTGCAACAGCAACAGCAGCAGGAGCAACATCAGCAGCAGCAGCAGTTGCTGGAGCAGCAGTCAAATTGCAAAAGTTTCTTGCTTTAAGCATAAAATATTTATGTCTGCATTTAGTTTAGTTTTGGCTGGGTTTTTAGTTACTTCCCCGGCTGAAGGAGATTTCTTTGTTGCAAGTTTGTCTGGCTGGTCTGCCGTTTTATTAAAACGATATTTGCTTGGTCAAAAGGAGGCAGTACAAAGCCGGCGAAAGTCATGGCCTAAAATGTTCAAAGAGGTTTTGTTCTTAATTAAATGGTCGGAACGGATAGACAAAACAGATTCCTGATTGAAATGCGATTGCCAAATTGAAATTTCAATCAATGTTAATTACAGAGAAACGAATGTTTTGGCGTTGACTAAGAAATAGTTGTGTAATTGTTCAAGCTACCTGAGCCCCTTCAAGTTTTGTTTATTTTATTCCCAATTTATTTGGGATAAAATGGCAAAAAAGGTTCTCAAATTAAATCTTTAACAAACGTAAAGTTCCTTATGTGTAAAACTAAATTAATTAATGTAATTGTATGTTGTATTGGACAATAATTTATGATCTTAGGCATAAGTATATACTGCACAGTCTGTGTTAATTAACTATTGACCTTGAGTAGTGACATAAATATATATTTGGTACATTTTTCTAATGGTAAATAATCAAAATACGAGAAACTAATTGAAATGAATTTGGTATATTAATTAATCAAACTAAAAGAGCCTCGGCCCAAAGCAAAATATGTTATCGGAAGGCTAAGAAAACATCTGGGTATATATAGAATATGTACATGAAACAGAATGTTATAGAATCATATATAAATGAAAGAATGAATTATATTACTTTAATTGTGTTTCATACCAAAGACATCACAAGGTTTTGAACAAAATTTCCTTTTGGGTCTGCTCTCCTCAGTTTTCACCAACTTTTCTTTAGAGCATTCTTCTCTGTGGGCTGTGACTGCCCAAGCGATTAATTTACTAGCCACCATAAGTCCCATTATCCAGATTCTTGTGGTTATTTTCGCTCCAGGCCGTTTGTCAAATCTATATTTTCTATTTCCTATTGCGCTCCATTGCGGCGCTCTATTGCCTGGCGCCCGAAAAACTTTTGCGTAAACAAATGATTTCTGTTTACACACTCATTTCTCAACATGTTACCTATTTAAACTTTTGTGGACAGGAAAATTTAATTAAAACCAAAACACAGCTGCTCCTCAAGTGAACCCCAATAAAATCAACAACGGTTGGAATATGAAGACGTAACGGAGAGCAGTTGAGGAGCGGCAGGAGAAAAGCCCAGACACTCACAACAATATTTTCAATTATAACTCAAGTTTATAACGGAAAACTTGTGAGGAAAATCCAAGGAGGAGGGACCGGAAAACCGGTAGGGGAACGGGCTAAATAGAAAAGCTTTAAACGCTTTCAGGTTCGCAGGGTGAGGGGGAAGAGAGAAAGAAAGAAAATATAAAGAACAAACTCCACAACAATAAACTGTAAAATGAAAACTGTGCGAACGAGATATTGACACAAATAAAAATACAACTCAGTTCGAATTTCAGTTAATTTGAAGAGTTGGTTTTCCGGCTTCTCGAGCAGAGAATTTCCATTGTGAAATAAATTTACTAAAACAAATCAAAACTTTTCACATAACTTTCGCATCAATCGAGGACGAGGTCCTCGGAGGTCTTGGGCAGCATGCATGCCAAGTAAATCGAAACAAAAAGCCCCAAAGAGCCGGAGCAAATTGCTGGATTGTGGATTTATAATAGTACAATCTCATAGGGAGAGGGAAACCTCATGAAGACTTCGCACAAATTTCAAGCTCAAGTTTAACCAACATCATTTTGTCCTTGAGCATTGTTATTTTTTCTTACATTTTCCCATTCGCATACCCTTCCCGAAGGAAAGTTAACAAAAGGTTCTGAAAATCATTGAGTCAGGGGAGAATTTTAAATAATAACCGGGTTACGGATTAGGGCAGAAAGTATTTAAACCGATATATTCAAGGCTATTTTAAATTTGCGATAATAACATATTTGATTTGAAGGTAGGTTTGTATTATATATATTTTGTAGACAAATCTATCAGTGAACAGGAGGAAACCAATGATATTCAGGTCTTTGAAACAAAATCGAATGTAAATAGAAATAAAGTAATATCAAGCAACAGTATATCCGATAAGTAGGTATTAAATTAAATTCTAGAGCATCCCGACATCGGTTTTCTATATACAAATAAATTTTGTTTTCCAAAGATCTATCAAGTGACTTGTGCTTTATGCATTTCATTTTCAATACAACATTTGGCTTTTCCAGGAAAAGCTAGCGCAGGGGGAGTGCCAGTGGGCGAGACGAGAACTTCTTTGTGTTGATGACGTGTCAACTTTTGTGGAACTGCAAAGTTTGCGCAAAATGAAGCGACAAAGCAAAACCTTCGCAGCATAAAAAACTCGACAAAAAAATCCTACAAAATGGAAAGGGAAACTGCACGATAAAGTTTTTTCTTTTCCTTTAAATTGAATTAACGTGAGAGCAGACCGGAAGAGAGAGGGATGCCCTTTACACCGGCGGAAAACTTACGATGATTTATTTGCTTCACATGGCAAAGTTGAGTGTCACTTCTTTCTCATGCTCCACTTTTTCCTCCGAAAAGCGACAAAGCAAGAGATGCTAACACACACAAAAGAGTCCTGGCCTCGGAAAATAGAGGGGGAGTGAAACACCTGGCTGACCGGTTAGTGAAAAACTCTTTAAATAAAATAAAATAGATATGGTGTGTTTTTCACATAATAATTAAAGCGCGTCGTAGAATTTTATTACATGACCCTCGGCTTCTGGAAAAAATTGCATTTTACTTAAGTAAATAGAGTCGAAGAGCTCTCTTTGTTACTTCTAGTGACCTAAACAAATATACAAGCACATATAAACATAATTATTTAAATATCGTTAGTTTTTAATATTTCACACTTAGTTCTAAAATATTAGAAAAAACATCAAGCAAATTCCCTTTCCATTGAACATTACTGTTGAACATTTCTACTAATCAGAGCATCAAGCATATCAATTAAAAGTGAAAAGCTTGAATTATAAGAAATTCGCTTTCTTGGAATTCTCTCTGAGATTCTTATTTCTTGCCTGATAAGGCAATTTTTCTGTCTTCAGTGCTTTATATACAGAATTCAGTCGGTGGCACAGCTCAGTCTTGATTAATCTCTTGTCAAACTAGAAATGTCTATAAAATTCGTTCTTGCAGTTTCATTTTTCTGTTGTGTCTTTCTGGCATCCATAAATGCCCAGAGACAGGATTTTGTTGATCGAAGATTTCAATTGGCAAAGGTAAAATAAACCAAATTCCTTATACCCAAGAACCTATATTAACTGGAAACTTTTACAGGAGCGCGATAGGAATAGGACCCCAGTCCCACTGCCGACCCTTAGTCCTGAAAACCAAAAACAAGACGACACACGGAATCCGCTGCAAAATGTGAGTTAAAATATATATTTATTAGGGGAACATAAGTAATTAGTAGTTCTTAAAGGGAAGCAATAGACAGCCAACACCTAGGCCCCACTATCAGCAACAAGGCAACCAAGAAAATTTGCACCAAAATGTAGGTTAAAATATGCTATTAATGTCGAATGTTTTCGATTATATTGATAAAACTTAAAGGGAACAAATAGGCAGACAACTCCTAGGCCTCAAACTCAGCAACAAGGCCACCAAGGAAATTTGCACCAAAATGTAAGTTAAAATATGTTATCAATGTCGAAGACCTTAAATGATTTGATAAAACCTAAAGGGAAGCAATAGGCAGACAACTCCCAGGCCCCAAAATCAGCATCAAGGCAACCAAGGAAATTCTAACCAAAATGTAAGTTGAAGTAAATCACGAATGGAACAATAATTAAGTTGCGAATACTTTCAGAACTTGTCACAAAATAGACAGCCATTAGTGGCACTTTATTACTACTCACGACTTACTTATCAGCAAAAGGAAACCGTAAGTTAAAGTATTAATGCCTGAGTAATATTTATAATAATCCAAGTCCTTAAAAACCAGCAACAATTTACTACCTGTGTGAGCGGTTCCTGCCAGCATCAAGAAACTGTAAGTAAATGGAGGTTTATAATGCCGAAATCCATAAATTAATTGGTCATTTTAGGGGAGTGACTACGAAATGAATTCCTTGGCTTCAGGTAATACCGACAGATTTAGTAGACGTCACTTTTAATTTGAATGTAATAAGAAAAACGTAAGCCGATAAACGAATATTTTGTAGATTATCTAAACAAAATATATAAGTATGCATAAACACTTGTATATATTTTGATTTTAATTTATTGATTTATAAAGTTTCTGAATAACTTTAACTTTTTAGTTTTCAGTTTCAGTTTTGAAATTAAGGAAATTAAGAAAGGAAGCTAACTTCGGCACGCCGAAGTTTATATACCCTTGCAGATAGAACTTCTATGAATAGGAATCCATACAATATAAATTATATATATTTGTGTTAAAAAATAATGAAGTAATACCTGCTTTCATTTCATTCACCTATACATATTATATTTGCAGTTTTACATTCACTGATTTGCATTTTTCCTCCACATCAAACGATCGTTTGTATGGCACCTATATGATATAGTCGTCCGATTTTCATGAAATTTGCCACAAAATTTAAGACTTATATAAAATGGCTATACCTCAAATTTGATGAAAATCAGCTGAAAACTAAAAAAGTTATAAATTTAATTGTATTAATTTCTCGATCGTTCCTATGGGAGCTATATGATATAGTAGTCCGATTTTTATAAAATTTTGTACAAAATTGAAGAGTATAGTAAAATGGCTATATCTCAAATTTGATTCAATTCTATTGAAAACTGAAAAAGTTAAAATTTTCTTTGTAAAAATTTTCCGATCATTCCTATGGCAGCTATATGATATAGTCGTCCGATCCGGCCCGTTCCGACATATATACGAGTGAGAGTATCTACAAGGCTAACTACAAAGTTTCATTCAGATAGCTTCAAAACTGAGAGACTAGTTTGCGTAGAAACGGACAGACGGACAGACGGACAGACGGACAGACGGACAGACGGACATGGCTAGATCGACTCGGCTGTTGATCCTGATCAAGAATATATATACTTTATATAGTCGGAGGTGCCTCCTTCACTGCGTTGCAAACTTCTGACTGAAATTATAATACCCTGCAAGGGTATAATGAAAATATTACTTATTATATGGGTTGACTGGAAAGAAAAAACAATGCAATTTCTGCCGCGGCTTTGATAAGCATTTCGGACTGCATGTCTCCATGGAATTAAAAAAATTAAGAGAGCATAGGAAAATATATTGACCGTCATTATTTATGACAACAGCTCCAGGACTAGAGCGTTTACATAAACCATCTACACCAATCGAAAAAAATGTCCAACAAGAGCCACATATGTATCAAGCTTGGCTGGGAGCAAAGCAACAGCCTCGACTTTTCCGGCTTATCTGCAGAAAACTAATTTGCTAAAATGTTGCCTGGCTTATTTGTCGTCGTCGTTGTCGTCGTCATTCGGGAAATTTTTAAAGCTGATGCCAAATCCAGTGACAAAATCCAGCATCTCCAGCATCCATCATAGAGCTGGCTTCTGGGGATGGAGTGGCTCAGACTGCGGACGACTTTTGGAGTCTGCATTTTTTGGATGGAAAATAAGAAAAAATTCTTCATCCACGGACGTGGTGTCGCCATCAAGGCTTGAATGAAATGCAATCCAAATGCTTTGTTGATTTTGCAAAATTTTCATACTTGTAGGTTAAAAGACCATTTAGAACAAAACAATTGTTCCGTAACATATTACATTTTTAAGTGGCCTTCGCTTCACAACTCCCAAAGGCGCCACAACCGAATGCGGTGCGTTAATGGTTCATGCAACATTGGCCCGGACGAGGTCATAGTGGTTAAAGCTCAATGAGGTGTTGCCATGATTTAGTTGGCTTAGCTTCCTTTTAGCTTCCAAACCTCTCAGTTGTTGTTGCGGTTGCATTTTGTGGTTAATATGAGGTAAGAGGTTTGCATCCAAAGGAATAAAGGGTGACTTTGCCACGCACTTGAGCATTTAAATTATGACCACATAGCATTCGAACATTTGCATTAAACTTAAAGAAGGGAAATATAATTTTTTAACAAAATACTAAATGCTTAAACACAAGAGCCTTTAAACTTATTTTCATATTTGCTAACGCATTCCGCGAAAGAAATTATTCATTATATCAGTCACAGAGCAATCAAACCATAACAGATTAAATATTTATATATACAAAGCGCATACATTTTGCAAATGTAATCAACTATATATTTTTTCCACAAACACGAGGCATCTGAAATCAGAAAAGCAACTTAAATTTTAACTGCTCTGACCTTCGGCTTCTGTTATAATAAATTGTTGGCTCCAAGAAAAAGTTTTGCGCTTGTCAGCGAGTTATCTACGTGGCGGCTGCCTTTGGTGTGGGTAACTGTGTATCTGAGTTTTCACTGTTTTCCACTGTTTTGGAAAAACTTGCAACTGGCCAAATCCCGAAAATAAAAAAAGGGAAAAACTTTTCCATCCTGCAGACATATCACTCTCTTGTGTGTACGCGTGTGTGCCAGCTTTGTTGTAATATATTATGGTCAGCGGAGAGTTTCATCCTTCCATGCCGGCCCGGAAAAGTTTGCCAACAATGCCACATTAACACATTTGTTGAACGTATAATCAATTTGTAATTTGTAGCCGCAACAAATTCGTGGTATATAAGTCCAACAGCACCGAAGCCGATCCCGGGTATTCGTTTAGTCCGGCAAAATGGCAAACTTTTATGTCAATAAGAAACTCTGGCATAGAAACCGATACAACTGGCATAAGATAAAGGAAAACTTTAGGTATGTGGGGACCCAAACCCAAAATTAAATTCACTGCCAAAATCAATGAGGAAAAACTTTATTCACAACTGGGTTCACTAGGTTCTTTACATGCTACTGTCATCTGGCCACAATTAACTATACATTGGACTTCAAATTTATAATACTTTTCGGAATAAAATCTAATAAATTATATATACAAATGATCTGTCTATAGTTATAAATTCGGGAAACTGTAAAATGACATGAAATTAATACAAGACCCAAATATACGTGGGATTTATGAGTTTATAAGGTTGAACTCTTCTGCCTTAATATCGTTCGATTATAGAGTCTCTTATCCATGGTTCCGACGAAAATAGAGCTCAAGTATGAGAACGGTTCCAGCAAATATCACAATATACATATATTATGGTTTTCTTTATTAATTTTCCGTCAACAACTTTGGTCACCCTTCCCCTGGAAACTCAGGTCTCCAAACTTTATGTAAATTTCTGCCATCGCGGATTCGGTTCTTTTCAAATTTCCCAGTATGCTGACAATGACAGGCTGGAAAAGAATATAAATCCAATGTATAGATAACCTGTGACAACTTCACAAACTGATTTTCAAAAAAGTTTCATAATTTATATTGCCATGTATACACATACACACACATCCAAGTGCAAAATTCGTCGCATATTCGAGTGTATAAATTTGAAAATTTTCGCTTTCACACTTTTTTCCACCCGAAGCGTGTGTGTTATGCAAATTGAGTGCAGCTGTTATCTCCTCAGAAGCCGCAGAGGGAAAAATAAATATAAATAAAGAAAGTAAAAAGGGAGACGGGCGCAAGCAGATAATGCTTGATAAATGTGTGTAGGCCCCATATACAAGCAAACAAACGCACAACAAAACACAACACACACCCAAGTCAATGGCCACCAGATGACAATCGGGATAAAGAATTTTCCTCTTCACATTTTTCCTGACAACATAAAGCGTCTTTTAACAGCCTGCCTGGCCGCCGCCCCTCAACTCCCGGCCTCTTTATATGCAAATTTGCGTAAGGGTTAACATTTGACTGAAGGTCAGTTGGCATTTTGTTCGACTTTTCCACAATATATAATAGATTGTATATCATTTTTTTTCAGCCTCCCACCCACAACTCTGTCTTTCTGGGTTGTTCATTTTTAACGACAAAATTGATTGACATTTTGCACCCTCGAGGCGGTCGTATTCAATATTCCGAATGAACCGAAACGGAGATGAGTTTGCGCTGATAAACCCTTTAAGCCATTCTTAGTTGATTGTTGTTGGGCAACCGAATATATAAAGACCAGGCTGTGCATAACGACCATGATACCCATGGAAGTAAGTCTCAAAATCGTACAATACAATCTTAAAATATTACAGAGAATATCAGTTTAAAATCATAATATTAAAGAGAGAAGTAAAGCAATGTTTTAGAGATGATTGAATTGATTAATTTTGTACCTTTTTTTGAAAACAAAGCTTTGAATACAATTTAAATTGCAATAATATTTAGAGGTATATAATTAAACCTACAAAAAGCCAAAGTAGTTCTTATTCAATGCCCATTTAAACAAATATAAATAAAAGCAAATTGTCATAAAAATAAATACCGTAGACGACACAGAAGTATTCGTATAGGATTTATTTAAAAAGCTAAGGGGAAATAGTAAACTTAAAATGTTTTTGAAATATTTTTTGAATATTTTTCACAAATTAAAAATAAATTAATAAGAATAGGTAGCTAAACAATGGTCTTAAAATGATCTATTCTCATTGGTCAAATTTTATTTAGTTGGGCTCCAATGTTTTTATATAAATAAAATTCATAAAATACCAGTAAACTTAAAGTACTTGAATATTTTATCAAACTATACAATGACTTGTTGTTGGTAAATCCACAGAGTTCTTTCACATTGTTCACCCCCTGCATATCGCAATATAATCGTCATATCCATCAATTGGCCAGATATATATATATACATCTCGGCCTGGGCCAGCAGCATTCATTTAGTTACAGCCATTTGCCGCTTAAGCCCATAAACCAGGTCCGGAACCGGACCTAGAATAGAATCCAAGCCAAGGGCGGGGCGGACCACCTGTAAGCCGCATGCCAATCGCTGACAGCCAACGCTTAACGTGAAAATCCCCTAAATCGCTACAGCTGCAAACGAGTTTCGCCCCCAGCCTCTAGCTCCAGCCTCCAGCTCCAGCATCAGCTCTTTCTCTTGGTCTGGATCAGGATCTGGTCTGTGTTCGCGTCTATATCTGTTTCTGTATCTGTATCTGTGTCCAGCCAGAATCCAATTGAATCGAGTCCAAAGTCCAGTCGAGTCGCAGCTTTTGCGGACTTGAGGCTGCCCCACTTGGCTTCCTGCTGCCATCGGCAGAGAGAGGTAAACAAAAAT